GCATTTATTATTGCAAAAGGATATTGTATACTGGATGTTTGTCACCATATTGTACTGTGACTCAGGACACTGACCCGCTACATTTCTACTGTACTTCCATGGTTTTTAAATCACAGTTCTCCTGATTGGCATCTCTGGTACCTTTTCTGTGGTGGCCTTGTGGTCAAGTATCACAAAGACACTAAAATGGCAGACAAGCTACACAATGTTGGAATGAACATTTAAGATGAGTAGAAAACCACTTATGAAGTCATAAGATGACAAAGAAGACATTGGAAATTGGAAAATGTAATTGATGTGATAGGTGAAAAGCAGAGCGGCCGCTGTGGTGAAGCTCACCGACCACGCAAACAGACAAAGAGTGCACTCAGGACACCAAGTCTCATTTTACCTCTTACCCACCCCCTCCCCCTCCCCCTCTGATACAGTATCGCCCACTTCAACGCGCCGTGGAGCCCACTTAAATATGTCTCGGATCCTGTCAATCAAAGTTAACCCCCTCAAATACCAGATGGGTCTGGGCTTCCTTCTTTCACTCTTTGAGAAACAGCAGAAGTACTTTTTCCATTTTGGCAACTATGTGGCTTTCAATAGTTTCAATATGTCCAATATTTTCAAACATTCTAAAGTTCATCCATGTTTGTTTGCTGTGCTGTATTATAAACGGGAGCATGAAATAATGCTGAAAAGTGAGCAAAAGCCCGAGGAAATATTGTTGTTTAGCTACGGAGACCCGCTCCACGGTGATAAGTGCCAAAAACTACATGCGTCACCCGTCAGTGTTGCAGTGGATGACTACATCATCATTAACATGTGCACTCAATTTGTTTTTGTTTTTGTTTTTTTTGTCATTTTGCTCCCTTCCTACTGCGTAACTTACTAGAGCATCAAGCATTGATGAATGTGTTGAGGGTGATTTTCTTTTGGAACTGTAGTTCTCTCGATCCTTTTCTGTTTTTAGCATCAACATGAATGAATACACTTGGAGGTGAAAGCTACACGGTAAGTAATGAATATCATTTTAACAAATAGAATCCTTTTAGATACACCAAAATCTCTCATGAATCAACCACGTTTTTTGCAATGTTGGAGCGATACACTTCAGTATGACTGGCGGTGCTTCAAACATTTTGCCCTTTTAACCCTTTCATGCACCACTAATGATAACCTGTAACCTGATAACATGATAAGCCAGTGGTGTCAAACTCATTTTTGTCGCAGGCCACATTGTAGTCATGGTTTCCCTTCAAGGGCCGTTACGTTGTGACTGTGAATTTGTGAAACCATTTAAATGTTTAATCACCTCCACATGTTACATCCACAGTGCACAACAAACTGATAGATAACTAGTTTTGAAATCATAAGTCAAGAAAAACGCTTTTTCAAACAATATTAAAAAGGGGTTTGGTAATGACAAAATGCTTGCAATATCTCTAATTATTATTATTATTATTATTATTATTATTATTATTAAAGCCGAAATGAAAATATTATCATTATTATTATTATTATTATGGATTATTATGGATGACAATTACAAATTTTGGTTCAGACTTTAGCAAGCAACATGGAAGTTGACGTGCTTGATTTGCTTTCGCGGGCCACATAAAGTGATGTGGCGGGCCAGATCTGGCCTCCGGGCCTTGACTTTCAGATCTGCATGATAAGCTGTCCACTGTAGTGACCGCTGTCCCTGAAAGAGTTCATGTTGCCAATTAAGATGAAAGAATATCAGATCTCCTAAGTTTCCCTGATTTGCACCATTGCAAAACATAAAAAGAAAACGGATATTAAATATCTATATTTTAAACAAGTAGTTCTTTGAAAGTGTCACTCAAACCTGACCATGACTTTCTTTGTGAAGGCCAAATTTTAGAAACTATTGTGTTAGCTTTCAATAGAATGTGTAGGCCACAGGTGTCAAAGTGAAGGCCCGGGGCCCAGATCTGGCCTGCCATGTCATTTTATGTGGCCCGTGAAAGCAAATCATTGGTGTCAACTTCTAAGATCCTTGCTTAAATCTGTATTGAAATCTCAAATTGTCATATCTAATAAATAAAGGTGAGATTTTGCAATAATTTTGTGACCTGGTTTAGACTCACGATAACAATTGAACAATCAACAAACAAAGAGTTGACTGATTTCAATACCAGTAATCCGTCATTTGTGTGTGTGTGTGTGTGTGTGTGTGTGTGTGTGTGTGTGTGTATACAAGTAATAATGTGATGTGATGATTAAACATTTATTCGGTTTCACTGTCATAACGGCCCTCCGAAGGAAGACGTAACTCCAAAGTGGCCCACAGCAAAAATGAATTTAACACCCCTGGTGTAGGCCTACTGTAAATGTCTAGTTAAAGCATACGAAAAATGTCAACTGTCCAATCACAATAACAAAGACAACAATGATCATCATAATTGCTTATTTAAATGTCACATCTTCTAAGCGTCCTAATGATGCTATGGTAAAATCCAGAGTTTTGAGGACAAGGAATAGCAAATTTACAAGTAGTCTAAACTAGACCGACTTTTCAAAAGTCTGAATCCTTTAAATGATGATCATTTACATGACACTACCCTCACACACGCCATTGCGCCGTCAACTTGCACATGCACTCAAAGCACAGACCTTCCTCAAAGTCAAAAGGTCTTCAATCCGTCTGACCAGTTTGATTTTAACATTTTAAGATGCAAGGGAATACGGTTCCACTCAACGTCTGTAGGTGGCGGTAATGCAAAGAGCTACACCTAAGAGATCTTGTGTGTGTGTGTGTGTGTGTGTGTATATTAAATAATACATTTTTTTTGTGGGTATATATATATATATATATATATATATATATATATATATTCCTGATTCTGTACCAAAGTTAAATAGGTTATTTTGTGGCCCATGCAACACTCGACTACAAAGTTTAGCAAGCATTTGTGATGCTGTTTTTCTGTCATCCTACTAATTAACAAACTCGCCAATCAATGACAATTAAATCGTAACCTCTGCCCATATATGTCTGTTGGAGGTAATTACCCAGACATTCATGCAGTGGTGGTGGATGCAACTATGCAAAAACAGTCAAAATAACTCCTTAACTGTGTCATATTTTTTAGGATTCTATACTTGAGTGAAAAAATAGCTGGCACCTTTACAGTGCCCTGCATGAACACACAAAACTCACAACCAGCACACATAAGGCTAACAGGAAACAGAAAAATGTGGCTGAGGCTGACGCTCTGGAGACACAGAAGTTTCAAAACGGTTTTCTACCCAGCATGCATTTCCAGATCCATCATGCATCAGCAGCAGTGAGTTGACAGCAGCAGATAGTATTACACAGCTCCCACTGACAGCGCTGACCTCCACCCGGCTGATCGATATGCTGACGCAGGGGCGAGCGAATGGGAGAAGCTTGGGGAACGGTCTTGAGGAAAGCGGTGAAATGGAGACGTAGGTGAGCGGCGGGCACATGCAAATAAAAGAAAGGCGTGAAGGAGACAGTGGAAAGTTGTCGGCCAAGTAATGTATGGGGGGGATCTTTTACGCGACACCATTATTAGCTAAAAATAGAGTCAAATTTGGTTTGGGCTGTATATTTACACAAAAGTGGATGGTACTTTGACACCTGACAGCTCAATATTTGAAATATATATATATATATATATTATTTTTTTCAGTGTTTTTTGGGGGGACAGGTCCTTGCGAACAGTTAAAAAAAGAATTCAGTTTTCTGTCTCTTTTGGGGAGACAGGTCCTTGTGAACAAAAAAAAAAATGGCTATGGCTTTAACTCTTATAGGTGCGGAGGAGGGGGAAACACCGCTGAGATTCAGGTTATCCCTCAGCGAAAGGGTGTCTGGGTTTAGACAGTGAGGAGAGTATTGGCTTTCACACACTGCTAGGCCAAGGGGGGAGTCTGCCAGATGTCAGCTCCTTACACATAAATCCTGCTAAATGGGCAATGTCCAGATCAGAGAGGCAAAGTTGAGAGGATATCACCCCTCTATCACTTTGGCTGCTGATGTAAAACTGGACTTGTATCTAATTCACGTTACTGTACATATTTTCAGTTCTTTTTTTTTTTTTTTTCACCAGGCCCAAAAGTGTTGCTGATAGTGTTCTCCATCTCGTCATCCAATGCATATGCTGAATGAATTAAATGTACTTTAAAACTTATCGATGTACACTGTCTATCAACGTGGTCAATTATTCATTTTGTGTTCTTCCTGAATTTGACTTTGAATTGTTAAACTAAGTGTGGAGCCTGATGAGAAAGTCCAGGATGTGTTTTACATTGAAAAATATTGCATCCGTTTTGTCCAACTCAGTCCCTTGCTCATCACATTCTTCATTATCTCAGGTCAGCCATGACTAAAACGTTCACATTTTAACAATGACATCCATACATTTTCCAATCGGGCGATTGTCTGCTGTGTCAGGTTAAAATGACTAATTTCCATCCACCATCTGAGCCGCTGATTCTCACGAGGGTCGCGGGCGTGCTGGAGCCTATCCCAGCTGTCTTCAGGCAGTTGACAAGGTACACCCTGAACTGGTTGCCATAAACAAGATTATAAAATAAATGAATTTTGACTGATATGATTGATTTTTTTCTTAACAACACGTCTGCGAGACTTTCTGTTTATGTGATTCATTCTTAAACTGTGAATCGCTTTTGTTAAAAGTTTGTGCACCGTGAACCTGCCTGACTAACACGAGTCCCAACAGTACAGTTATACACAGTCATTTGCCCCAAAAGCAGACTTTAAAGCGTTTCTGTTTTTAATGTCCCTCTGTGCCAATCGGCTTTATAGGCTTCCACACTGATCTCACGTCCGCTTTAAACACCTCCGTGACCTTAAACCATTACACAGTTGCGACCATACGTTTAACTTTGGTGGATTTCAAAAATGCTATTTTGATATAATTTCAAGTGTGCAGGACTCTCAATTGGGTATCATTGGCGGTTTCAACACTAGATGCTTGTTATGTTCTTGATCTGCTCACCATTTTTCTCTGGTTGCTGAGGCAGAACGTACAGATGTGCTTGGGCTGGCCTGATTGATCGGATCCTCGATTGGGGGAGGAGTTGACGTGGAAGAACGGCGGCGATGGAGCGTGGCAGGGCTGTCCGTCATGAAGCCCCTCGCCCAGGAGCAAAACGTTCCCCAGATGACTGATGTAGCTGCTGGCCAAGCGAAGAGTCTCGATCTTTGACAGTTTCCTAATGATTGAATCAAAGCGACATTATCACAATGATGAAGCAAATCGTGATACGCGGTGTTGTAATCAAATCAACTCTGGAGATTTTTGTCAATGTTTCTAACCCGCAGGAGTAACCAGAGCGTCTTTTTCTCATTGATTTTTGTGGGTATTGTGAAAGTTTTGTGTACCTGTCTGCAGGCTCAGTGGGGATGAGCGTGCGCAGCGCCGTGAATGCGGTGTTGACAGAATTGGTTCGATCCCTCTCGCGAGCATTGGCCGCTGTCCTCTGACGGATTTCAGTCGGGGGAGATGAGCCGGGGGGTCCCAGCCTCCCTAGAACAGCCTCGACCGTTGCTGCGCCTGCTCCTCCCATGCACAGCTTTCTCTTCCTGCTCATCTTGATGTGAAAGGCAGAGGGCGACGAGGATGACAGGCGAAAGGCCGCAGAATTGCTGGAGCGCTCCTCCGAGCCTGAGCCTGAGCTGCCATTCTCATCATCGTCTTCGGAGAGGAGAGCGATGTCGCCGTACAAGAAGCGGCCTGCGGGAGACGCCGTGCGCAGCATTGTGAAAGTCATCTTTAATGCCACAAGTTAATCCCCGGAGCCTCTTTTGACAGGTTTGTTCAGGGAAACTATTAGGTCGACACGGGCTAAGCAATTGAGATTTTTTTTTGTAACTAGTCCCTTGTAACAGCAGAGTGTCTGCCAAGTGATGCTAAAGCTGCAGTGCAACAGGTGGCCGCAGCTTCCAGGATCCTCTTCTTCTCTCACATCCCAAGAATCATTCAGTCAATGACTTAAATCCTCTGGAAGAAAGGTTTGTTATAATGGCACACTTTCGGCTCCACTCATGTGATGTTGATTTACTTCAAGCGACCTTGAAGTCAATTTGGCTGCTTCAGTCCCGACAAGAAAAATGACTCACCGCCTGTGGCAGCAGTTTGTTTCTCTCTCTCTCCCTCTCTCTCTCTCTCTCTCTCTCTCTCTCTCTCTCTCTCGCTCTCTCTGTCTTTCTTTTTGCCGCTGTGCTCCACGTGTGCCTGCTGTCTGAGTGTTTCCGTCTGCCTCAGGGTTTATAGCCGGTGGGAGGGCCTAAAGACTCCCCTGCTCCTCCTTCCGAGGGGCGCGGGTCCCTCAGCTGCGGTCTAGAAGTAGGCCAGAGAGACCGGAGGCAAGAGGCAAACCATAGGCAGGAGTTTGTTTTGGCTGCACACCAGAAACTTGCGGGGGGATTCCATCCTTTAAACCATGCTGCATCACTCTCGTTTTCTCTGTAGCTTTCTTTGATGCCCTCTGACAATCATTTCTATCAATCAATGGAGATATTACTTGGATAAAAATATGCGTGCCATACAGCAATAATGTGTCTCAGATGAAAGCCAAACAAACTCAGTGGCTGTTTGCATGTGACTCAGAACATTAACACAGACATACTGTATCCACTCAGTGTGTATATATCGACAAGTTCAGTCCAGCTCACCGTGGCATAGTTTGGCACAGTTGACCTGATCGACAGGCTTAGTTACTGTTGGGCAGTGCTTAAAGTGGGCTGGTGTGCAACACTACAATGTAGCAGTACTCCTCAATTTGACTTTTTACGGTGTACTTCATACGTCGCCACTGCACTCTACCGTTATAGTTCTCGCTTGCACCTTGTGATACTCATACAAGTCCTTCAGTAATTCAGGTACCTCAAAAACAACAAAAACTAATCATTTGATGTTAATTTGATGTTCATTTGATGTTTGCGCACTGTCATTTAAACATGTCACGGAAGCTGCAAACATATTCGGAACGTAACACGCTATCAACGTCAAGGCTAACTTCAAACATAATACGTTGACGCGAATGCAGAAGCCTAAGTTAGCCTTTATTTTGAAGTTGACCCATGTGAAAAGCATGTTGGCTCGCTTGACTCGTTGTTTTCGACGTTTCGTCTTGCCTTATCAGAGTTTTTATTGCCATGACATAGTTGCTAATAACATCAACATCCCGAAATCCTATTCAAACGCAAATTTAGGACTCTTAAAGAAACCGCAAGTTAATTATGCCGTCATTGTATGATACGGCACACGTTCACAGCTAGCTGCTAACAATAACTGCCCAGCTGGCAAGTAGTCTGAAGGCTTTTTATTCCTCAAATCTAAACAGCAATATTTGACATTTTGGGTTGACTGTTTTACTTTATTTGTTCTAAATGGGCAAAATTGATCTTTATCGATCTTGTTGTTTTTTTGTTTAGTTTTTTTGTCATGCTCGCTGTGAACTTGGCTTTAAATTGACTGTGCAGTTATTCCACGCTTGCTTTCGATACCCCAAATCAATATACAAAACTAGAACTTAGTTTTTAAAAAAATGTCCATCCGTTTTTTTTTTTTTTGTTTTTTTTTTTCCGACAACCACAGAATTTGAGTTGTGAAGCAAGACTTTGCCTTTCCCCGTATCATCTTTTCCTCCCTCTGCCTCCCTCCTCTGCGTTGTTTATGTCTCTAGACAGCAGCAGGCTTGGCGGCCAGCAGCCGCAACACTGGAAGCTAGCCATCAGTCGGCGCTTGTGGCCGAAGCCGGGAACTGGATAATTATCCAGCAATGGCTAGTAAAAGTGGTCATACTAGAGAACTTCTCGATCTGTCTATAAACGGTATGTATAGCTGCCTATCAAAACTCATTCAGACCTTCCAGTGAAGGTTCTCCGAATTATGCAAAACAGACTAATATATTTATGAGCAGGTTAAAAAAAAATAATCTTATTGCTTTACATTTAAAGAAAAAAAAACTTGCACCTGTTTCTCATTGGATATTTTTCAGTATTGATGGTCACGACAAAATGGTTGCCTCGGTATTTTTTTTCTTTTAAACTCTTTCTTGTATTGTCCTCCTTGAAGTCTATGGGATTTTTTTTCAACCATGACTGTACAATTTATGGTTTATTCCCAAGTAACTGACTGCCCTTGGATATTTTTTTCCCCGGCACAGTCCTCAGTAGTCCAGTGCTGAAAACACTAAAACCAAGTGCCGTTGCTGGTATGTCTTCGTGTGTAAATTGGCAACAGCAAGATACTGTTGAAAACGAATAACACAAAGAATAATCTGTCAGAGTTACATAATGTTACAGTCAGCATTTATCACCCCTGCCGCTCCACTTCCACATGTACGGATCCGATCCCAGTGTCAGACCTCATGTTTGAGTTAAACAATTGACATACTCTCCATTTGAACACATCAAATTGCATCTGAATACTGGCAAAATAATACTGTGTCAGCAAATATGTGCGGTCATAAATAGTATTCCACCGATGATGCTATGTCATTTCTTGTTATATATTAATTTCAGTTTTGATTCAAAGAGAGGTTTACAGTAGTGTAGAACTGGATTGCATCAAACTGAGAGGTGCCAAGTAGGCAGGAGAATTGCCTCACACTTATGTGGAGGTGTACCTAAAACCACATGGTCAATGTCTGCCTTCTGATCTGACCAAGCACTGCTGAAAAGGCATCGGCTCATTTGTGATTCAAAGCATATCTGCTCATTTTACAGTAAGCTTCATACAAACTGAGAAGCAATCGAAATTTCGATGGTCCTGGGTTTGCTGGACCCTGTCCCAGCTGCCTTTGGGCGACTTGTCTACCACTGCAGTCATATTTTTCCTCAATTATTTCTAACTATGTGTAGTATTTATCCGAATTGTAATTTCTTTTCTGAGATCATTTTGGTCAGATTCGCAAGTAGTACATAATCGTTTCGGCCTCTGTGTACTGCTTGGCAAAGCATTTTCTATTACTTCCCTTATGCATTATCCATCATTCATCAACTTATGTTCATTGACAAGATTCTTGAGCAATATATTCTGATTCTTTTGTACAATGTTAGGGTATTATGGCTCAATCTTTTCTACCCGTGGAACAAATCCAGAGTTGAAGTGGCTTTCATAACCTAGACAGTGTATTTCACAGTTGAGTGGGCGAAGGCAATAAAATAGTGAGATATTTGCCAAGTCTGCTTCAGTCACTGTGGTCCATCATTACTTCCTCCGATTTGCATCTCCCATGTGCGGGGCTGATCTCACACAGTATCCAGTTCTCCCTGAATTGATGCCTGCAGGCCAGAAAACATAATGCAGACATAGGGGCTTTTCATAACCACACGTGGCAGCATTTTACAAAAGAATGTAGGAAGATTAAATAATTTGATTTACAGCCCAGTAATTGTGACATTTGCATAAAATGACATGACGGGTTGACCCAAAGTCAGCTTCGATTGCCTCAGTGGGGTGTGTTTTATATCTTTTAGAATTTTGGCAAATTCGAGTGCTAGAGTTCTAAATTACAGGATATCAAATGGCACCTACATTCTGTGGCTTATTAATGAATCAACACTTTTATTGGCATGTAGAAAAATCGAATACACTGAATTCTTTGAATTGATTTTGCCAAGTGCAAATTCCCATTGAAATTCATCATAGAAAGGGTTCTGTCAGTTGTCATCTGTAAATCAGATTGCATTTTTGGGTGTTGGGAACCCGGTCTTTGGGGTGTATCATGTCTACAACATGATATTCCTGTTTATTTTAAACCGATAAACACATTGAGACAAAAACTAGTACACCCCTAAGACCGGGTTCCCAACACCCAAAAATGCAATCTGATTTATTCCATCCGTTGCCAAGAAAGTGAGTGCAAGGAACATTACATCAGAGAAACCAAACAAACACTCAAGAAAAGACTTTATCAACACAAATGGAAAAACAATGATAACAAAAGTGCAGTATACGCACACTTAAAAGAAACAAACCACACAATTGAAGATGAACAAGTAAAAATCCTAGGAACAGAAAAGAGATGGTTTGAAAGGGGAGTAAAGGAAGCGATTTTTGTTAAAAAATTTTCACCCTCTCTGAACCGTGAAGGAGGTATCAGATTTAACCTGTCTCCTATTTACAATAACTTGTTGACCACCAAGGGACATAGACATGCTGATCAGGCTAACTGAAAGTAGCTATTCAGCCCTAGCCCAAACAATAGGCCTAATCAAGACCCAACGATAGGGAATTTAGAAATCAATGGGCCTCTTCACCATAGGGGCGTGACTAACCATCCCCACCCAGTCCTCAAATAGGCCACGCTCAGCTTTTTAGCGCAGAGCAATTTCCCGGAGTCTTCACGGAGATTTCAGGGTTGTCTACCGCTGACGAAGCTTCTGTGAGAGAAGCGAAACATCCTTTTTTGTTTTTTGTTTTTTACCGACAGGTACAGATGACGACTGACAGAACCCTTTCTACGATGGAACTTTCCTGTATGACTGAGAACCTCCACAAGCATTGAAATTCATATTTATTAACAAACAACAATCGACCATACCTCAACTATTTTGTTAACGCTACCTGCAAAATTTGTACAAATGCGTAAGCTGTGTAAAAAATCTGCCTTGAAGAAAAAAAATTATGAATTGATTACAAACACATTGGACAGTATAAGGCAAGTGTGCCCAATACGTCGATCGCGATCGACCGGTAGCTCGTGGACTGGTCCCAAGTCGATGGCGACTTTTTTATTATAAAATAAAATAAAATAAAGCAAGTCACCTTTTATTTACGGTGGCGTAACCTGCGTCATTGGAAGTTGTTAGCGCTCAATAGTCTGCAATTGCAGCTTGCGATCAGAACTATTGCGATATTGCTTTTTAAATTATTATTTTTATTATTATCAGTCAAAGTTCATTTCGTGTATCACAGATAGCACTGGCAAAAAATGGGAATCTGGAGGGCCGAGAGAAGCATTTTAACGGTACACGTGAGCTACGATCGTTAACATGCTGCAAAAGTGTGTCCCATGCCTCCGCGTCAGGTCTCGAAGAAGGTAGGCAGAGATTTTCTTTTCACAAACTCATAAACTTTTGTGTCTACTTTATTTTTCTGTTTCGTTCATCTTAGGGGCCGTAATAGCTATTGCTCATAAGCGCATGTGTGCGTAAGTGCGTGAGTATGCGCGCGTGTGTGGCAATGGATCGATCCCGGGAGGTTGGTTGATCGAAAAGTAGATCTTTGGTTAAAAAGAC